GAGGTTGCGTACAATAAATCAGAGGGCGGTTGCAGGTTGTAACGAGGTATATTCGTTGGCGATCTCGTGGTATCGAAAGAATACCGAGATTGTGCCAAAGAAATACAAGTGGAATCAGTGGGCGAACGTAAGAGCGTACAAGGTCACAATCAACGGAAGGATAATAGAAGAATAATGGATGTTTTTAGTATAGTTAAACAAATAAGTACAGTAAAACAGTCACTGGTACAATTGGTTATAATAATAATTGTTTCCATTAAACCAATCGCGTTCTCTTGATAAAAGTAGGTCACTACACATTCATAGTAATACATCAATAATATTGGTGAAAAAAATACGAAGTTAATCACTTGTCTCTTTTATTCTCCATGATGTTCTATAATTATAGAAAACAAATGTATAAGCTGTCAAATTAAATCAATGTAATGCTTGATCAAATGTTGCCTAACAACTATCAACGCTTAGCTGATACGCTACAACGATAATAGTTATCTTGTCGAATATAGTTGAAAGTCATTTCAAGGACCTCGTTTTACGTTAGTTGACACCTATCCATAAGAGACATCTGTCATATTGAAGGGATTGATTCTTTAAATGAGATTAAAATCTGTATCACCATATGTCATATTTGGAAATGTTATAGCTGAGCAGTTGAAATCATAAACAACTCATAGAACTGAGATATTCACACATGATTGATCACTGAATACTTATAATGTCATGTTTGTCTAATTTATAATGTTGATGAACTTTTATCGGTTAGAACACAATCCCTCCAAGTTATAGGGATCTTTTTTTTAAATGTTAAATTCAACTGACAGTAAATGTAGTCAAAAAAAATAATAAATCAATAAATAATGTTTTGATTACTATGCCGACGAATGTTCATTTATTGAAAGAGCTTCATACACATATAATTTAGCTGTAGTCTTGCACATAATTAGTAAAAAGCCCTAAACCTACGTTTTGCCGCTAGATGCTACTTATTAAAACTATAAATTTAAAACCATAAAGGAGTTCGTATTTCTCATAAGATTCATACCAGCATGAAAGTTGAAATGTTTCTACTGAGCTATTCCAGCTTCTATTAATCAAGTTGTAGATCGACAGCATTCAAAGTGCCTTGACCACGCAGTACATCATTTCTGATGTTAGATAGTTAGTAATAATCGACAAGAAGTTCATCAATCTCAAAGTAGGTTAGATGCCCTCTGAATGGCTCAATGTCAGTGTAACACATGATGACATATATTAGAATTTTAATGGGAGAAGTAGTTCTTTCAATAATGAATTTAAATCTTATTAAACTGTACCATTAGAGAATGACCTGGGATCTATCAAACTAAACTGACCACCTAACCAAATAATATTTTTTTTATTGGCAATATGTTCAATGTTGTTTAATACTGAAGAAATGAAATATAATCTTGTGCAACTATATATCCAATAACCAGTACATTTTTTAGACTATTTCTGTTATTATGTAATTTAAAAGTCAACTCCAACCTCAATGAAACCAGTACATTATTATTTGACTAACTGATTTGACCTATTGTGTGACCTATTATAACCCCATATACTACAACTTCTAGACCTAGAGTTTATTATAAACAATTCGTACCATTTTATTTATCTTAGGGTGTTTATTTGTTTATGTAACATTTCGTTATTTTATTTGTCAATTTGATATTTTGTTAGTTCAAGTCACAACTACTCAGCATCTTATCTTTTTAAAAAAAAAGGTTAAACGGTAGCTTATAACCGAAATTTATGAAAATAACGTTAATTTGGTCAGTACAATTCACTCAATACTAAACGTTAGATAACACCATAGTGTTTACTCTTCGATAATCAATTATTGTTACTGATACATTTTCGTTAATGTACTTACGTCTAGTTGGTTACATGTATTATATGATTCGAAGGAATTCAAAATAAATATCACTTAGACTTTTTATGCTTTTAAACTGTACTCAAGAGAGCCACAATAGTAAATAAGTAACATACATAATGAGGGTTTCGTTGATTTTTAATTTTATATTATTGATCAGAGTGGCTTCCAGAAAACTAGCATTAACAATAAAATACGTTTGTAGGCTGGTTACGAATCGGTTGACAGAATTCAGTCAGTACTAAGAAGTAGACATATATTGCATTCATTGACCAATGGGAGTAAATTAATCCTACATAAGGTCGGTAGCAGTACATGTAGTTCAGTGCTGACATCCCAAGGAGTAACTCTGAAGGGCGAGAGTTCGAATCCTACAGAGAACACCAATCTCCTGAATGTTCCAGATCCACCTTGCTAACATGTGGTAGTTAACCCGAAAGGTAGGTTTGAAGTTCCCTCTACAGATTTTATTCAACCACTTGGCACCAGTGAATTTGGTTCTTGATGTTTAGTATGAAAAATCAAGAGAGGGGGTTATCTAAACCAACTCTGCAATAGGCGTGAAAAAATATTGAAAAAAGTGACAAATTAATGATCTTAAATGAAACTTAGTTCTGAAAAAACTTCTGTTGTGAACTTCTATGAAAATCACACCGGAATTCAGTGTTCTGACTGATATCATAGCAAAAAGTACACACAGTACACATGGAAAAGTGATTTGTATAACCGATACTCTAAGGAATAATAGAATAAGACTAAATCATCCATTCATTGTGTTTGAATAAACTTAAGATAAATAAAAGCCATCTTCAGATCAAGGTGATCCGTTAAAATGTTGATGTTTGATGTCTACAATACGTTTTTAACAGTTGTCATGTTTATTAAGTCCATTTTGGTCACTAATATGTTTTTTTATTTTGATACCAATTCTTATTAAATAACGACGTTAGCTGTTGAAATATTGGGTAACGAAGAAACACAAACGGTATTTGTTTTAATCTTTCTTTGGGAATCATCAGAAGCACCGTGTTCACAATGAATATGAATCTACTACGTCTTCAGTTATCATTACGAATATTAATATATTGAAACAACTGTTTTAGAATTCAGCTACCCATCTTCACTTCATTCCACTTAATATCAGATCTGTCACTATTTTTATTCAACTTTGTTTCCATGAGTTGTTTATTGTTTACAGTTGATTGATTACTGAGTAGTGATTAATGTCTCGTTTGTCTAGTCTTTTAGTTCTGATCGGAATCGATCAATCACACTGTAATGCAGCAACTAGTTTAAATGACTCGACATCGCATACAATACTTTGAGACGTTAGGCGGTTGGAGGTAATTGGTAAAAAACACTCAACAAAGAGGGAATTGATGCTCTCTATATGATTCGAAATCCATTCACTCAAATTCACAGTCTGAGACATAATCAATAACTTGTTCAGACTGCAACTGACCTGATATAGGTTTCTTGTCAATCAATCAACCGTTATTGTCTTCTTTGAAAACCGTCAAATCTCATTGATTCTCTAGTTGATAACATTCGGCAATGAAAGCTACTATGAAATTAATTCAGTCAAGAATTATTGGCTCATTTATTTTGTAGAATATCATCAGAATTATTGCCTTTTTTGTAACCGAATGAGTTATGTATTACTGAAGATTTAAGATATTTCTGATTTGAATCTCAAATAGTCAGCTTCAACTTTTATACACATTATTAAAGTGATTATGCAATAGATGAGTTTTTTTAATTTAAGGGTGAGCAGTGTACCGGAAAATATAGATATTCGTTAATGTGGGTGTGAAGGAGGAAGCACACAGATTTAAACTGAAGTTATTCACGATGCTTTTAATATTCATTAAATGTATTATACTTAACCCTTTCAATCACTGATAGGTTCATTTAGCGGGTGAGTACTGGACTTCAGTGTAATTTCCATTAAAGAATTCATTCCATAGCCTAATGTTTGTAGGGGCTGGCACAATTTCAAACCCACATGGGTTATTCTAGCCTCTGGACAGATCAATCTATCGGTTCTTCTCAAACCACTTTTTTACCCTGTCAATTATTCGCTTATTAATCCTGTTTTTTATGTGTGCTAATTACTTACCCAACTCATTTGTTTGTAAATTATTTATGTTCGACTAGCAATATCAATTCATGCTCGGTTTAATCGAGTTGGTTCACTCGCCACCTTCATTTCGTTTTGCTCCGCTTTCCGATCGACGATTTTATGAAATATATGTAATCAGAAATCCATTCCCGCATATGACTTATTTAATTCCGTTATTTACCAACGCAATTAAAGTCGATGATTATATATATATTTCGACAGCAATCATTCGTCCGATCTAAGTGGTGTCAAATATAGGGTCACTAAAACATTTACTATATTCATGCCTTTCAACCAGTATAACGTGTTGAGCTACTCTGGATATGTTCCTAACAGACAACTGAAGGTAATTTCAGTCACTTAAATTGAATATTTTTAATGAGAATTTCACTAATATGTAGTGCTTGGTCATTAAACAAACGGAAAAGTGACTGAGAGCGCAGGGTACCACACGCGGCTAGTGAACATTGACAACTTTATGGATAAACACATCCCCAGATGTACGTCTGAGTCCATTTATAATGAGTACTGGTTACACGGCCAATAATACTGCTTTACTAGTAAGAAATCGATGGTCATATTAGTTATGAAATAACCCGATTCGATTATTAGATATACAATCCTCCCTTATGTATTCATTTAAATTAGAATTATATTGCTGAAATATTAGTAATATTATCATTTATACACTTTTGTATCATCATTAATTTACCTAATATATGGTGAAATGAATTAGAACTCAATCCATTTTACTAACTCTTATCGATCTCTCATCACTTTATACATTGCATAATCTCTGATCAAATAATTGGTTTGATCTGTTTAAGCACGTTAAATCTTGCAATTTAGTTTGATTCGCGACTACAGTGATTGCTAATGACGAACAATCGAGGTCATTTGAATAAGAGTGGGTTCTGTTCCCCACTCCATAATATGGGGACGGGCACATACAACTCTAACAATTATCCCAAAGACAGAACCCCATGCAGAAGACAAGAGTATAAAGAAACATTGATATTCAAAGAAGACAAACGTGAAGGGGAATTCAGTATACATAGAAATGAGACATGATCTGTGGACACGAAGGAAAATTGGCAAACTAGAAATGGTAATAGCCAACATAACTGAAACTTCGGAATAACAAATAAGACACAGTATGCGTCACCAAACACAGGTAATAAACACACTTGTTTGCACATTGAAGTGACGTCATCTTTGTCCTGAGAGATATTAATATACAATTCACTAGTATTAGATTGTTTGGTTTAATACTGCACATTAGTTAACGCAGTATTTAGAAATCTACTTTGTTAATGATTCTAAATTCCATATCCTATAATTTAGGAAGATAAGTTTGTTTAGTTATTCCTCTGGATTGTTTGTTAAAACTTATGACTGAAGGAGTGGATGTGTCTGTCTCCTATGCATGAACCTAGTATCCCATAACGTAAAAATTAACATATTATCGAATTGTCTTGGGTCCTGATGCGTTTGAGCACATCACAAAACAGCGAATACGAATGACTGATTTACAATAGTAAATGCGAGAACGTACGGAAAGCGTATTGATTTTATGATTTTAATAGACTGTTCAATGTTTCATATATAGTTCTGACTGATATAGTTCATGATTAGGCATAGAAGTTAAGATGTACACAAAACCAAAACAACTCATAACACTGAAAAACATTATATTGAAACATCATTTTATCACGTATTTCTATGGATTCTCACAATTATTTCATTCCCGGACTTTATTTTATTTCAATACGTGTAAAAAAAATTAAAGAAATACTGTACAATCAGGGGTATGATGCCAATTATTAACCACCCTTCCTCCTTAAACAAACAATTAGCCATTTCAAGTATCGCATAGCCAAAAAGAGTAATCATATGCAATTTTATGTTGGAACACATCGACCAAATCATCAGAAGCACAATGCAAGGTAGGCAGCAAACTTCGCATACCTTTCGATTGTAAATTGACTGACTGATAGACATGACGGTTTGGATCGAAAAATTCCAACAAATCTGGTTCAGGTTCATCCTAAAAAGTAGTAATGATAATTATATCATTATTATTACCATGATAAGAGTGAAGGTAATAATAATAAAAAGCCAAAAACATCTTTCTTCATTTTGATGAAACTTTGGAGTAGTAAAATGAGAAGTGTGCAAACCCTGGAGACACTACTTTAAAAAATGTATATAATAATATAGATGAGATCATATTTAAAGATAACATTTACAATACAATGATGGCTTATAAATTGTTTCGTTCCGGTTGAGGACACTGCAGCAGTGTAATATATTCAAGACCTCAGGATTATCCTCCGATCTTGTGTCAAATACAACGTACTCAAACTACCTCGTTGGAACCCAAAATAATCGACATACATAAATCCAGTTATATTTACAATTTAAGATTATTAATTGTTCAAGATTGATGACATTCAAAACGCAAAGGAAGTAGGTGTATAAAATTAATGTAGGAACGTGATAAACCAATCAGATTTGAGACAACAATTATTGGATTTTTGCCCGAAATCCAAAACGCAATGTATGTATACAAACCTGAGTAAAACCCATTAATGCTGAATTACTAAAGCACTTAGAATTCACAAATATGGGACAACTAATTACTATGATCTAAAATTATGAATTTTCCGCGGTAAATTAAAGGTTATTTGTATTTACAATCAAAGAATTAGCTTCATAAGTATTTATCCATGTGGTTACACATGATTCTATTGTTTTCTATCATAACTCATAGGTCCTAATCTAAGCCCCAACTCCTAACCTTAAGCTGCAGTCTTAACTCTTAACCTCAAATTCTAATTCCAACCCTTTCTGGGATTTTATTTAATAAATTATTCGCTTATAACACCTCCGCTCTGATTGGCTAGAAATAGGCGTGCTCTTTTAAGGTCATTTCGAGGACGCTGAGGGTCACCAGTAAAGTATTCTTTCTCCTGGTAAAAAATATTTCATTAATTTCGGAAACTGTTTCATATACAGCCATCACCAGGACGTGTTGAAAATGGAGAAATGCGAAATGATGAACTGATGATTATATTATACAACGTCCAAGCATTAGGTAGCTGGTTCGAAAGTCACTTCATCTGATGAAGTTTTGGCAACTGTGTGGTCAGACTAACCACCAAGTACAAAAACCCACACTAAATTCTCCCGAAACTAAATAGAACTGCTATGATTCAAGAGGATGGCCTAGTAAAAATCTAGTTTATAACTTGAAATATTTGAAGTTGTTATAATTCTCTCTTACGGTTATAACCCACCTATTCCTATTGCTTAGTATTCTCGGCCACCGATTCACTCGACAAGCCCCAAATCAGAACACGGTTGAACATGAAAAGAGATTACATTCCAAATAACAAGGTTAGATGGAAGTAAGTAAGCACAGTAGGGAAAACGTTAGTATATTTATAGTTTTTCATATGAGATTTCTAGTGTTCACTAAGTATTGACTAACGCTGATTGGCTAATTCTTATCCAATGAGCGTGCACCAAAGCAATCGTGCACTGAGCATGCTTTGATCCAGTCAATGTCCCGCTAACAGAAGTTAAACACAATTCTCTGCGTTTTATCGTAATCCTGTTGAACAAAATTGAGGAGAACCCAAATGACCGGAAGCTTAAGTAAGTTACATACATAAATATTCCACTTAAAAAAGTGATAATTTTTCAAATAACCTGGGTGTCATGTTTTTTATTTACCAGGGAGATGCTAATAACTAATATATTTACGAAAATCTAGTGCTATACATACAAGGATGCCTGACTGACTGGCTAACAGAGCATTAATTAGTAGAGAAGCGTTACAAAATCGGTTACACTACCTATATTTACCTACTTATAGTTGGCAAACATACAGGCAGGAAAGGGTGATTTGACAATGTTAAAAATACTGACATTTGAGTCATTGGATGTGGGGAGGGGAATTTAGTTAAGAAGTAGAAAATATAAGCACTTAGCTATTTCATTAGGTAGTTAAGTTAGTCATAATCAGTGCAATATTTGCAACAACTATAACATTGCTCCGAAATGTCACAATACAGCAGGCCACAAAAAGCGAAAGGTGAAACCATAATTTATGGACGACCTTTTAGCGACGCTAAAGTGACCTTGGGAATGTCCACCTACTTGATAGGGCTAAATGAGTGTTATAAACCAGTGTGAAGAATCAGGATTATGAATTACAGTTGATGATGAGTGTTAGGAATTCGATTTAGGGTTTTCATCACGAAATGACAACTAAAATGTCAAAACGCTATTTCGCCAAGTGGATGAACGGATTTCACTCCAAAATCCAAGACCTGTTATCCTAAACCTGATTGGGTTGTCCAAAAATTATAGTCTAACTGAATATGATTTCAAAAAACAGAGGACGATTTTAAAGATAAAAAATTATGAAATAACATTAAAAAAAAGAATCTGTAGGAAGCTAAGGAATGAATGTATCTGTCTCTATAAATAAACTTGTTACCATAGTGGCTGAAAATCTTTTCCAACCATCGATTAGGATTATCGCACAGACATCAACCAGGTGGTCTGTACCTCTCCAAACAGTTTTATCGGATCTAATATGCTTACAGATGGATTTCTAAACACATTCCTAAACTACTGTATGCAGAGGCTTGATGTAGTTATAGTTAAAACGGGCAAACTATGAACAGCCGACAAATTATACCTGTTTCAAAAACACGAATTAGTACAACTAATACGAAAATGTGAAATGGAACAGTTTATTAGCGACCAGTAGAAGGAACACAAAATAAAACAATGGAAAAATTAGTCATGTTTATGAAAAGGTACAATTTTGTGATTGTTAGTCAAATAAAGAATGGTTAGTCCGAGATCACATTGCATCTAAGTGGCGGGTTCTTAACTGGGATATTATTTGTTGATTCGTTCCTATGGATCGGAGTTGACATTTCTTTCCAAAACATCCACTACTTCCGCAGTTGGTAATCATCGTTGTTTAACTACGATCAAACAAAAATCTCGTATATTCCGGATAATCCTTTCGGTTGTAATTTTCATCTACAAAATCTTTGATTGTCTGTTGATTTCGTAGTTTGCCGTTTGATAATAGGCCTTGGTGACTGATTTGTCGTTGCAATAACGTCATTGATAAGGACTAAAACACTAGGTTAAGTCTCTCTGCACAATTAGCCATTTAAATTTTACTAGGGCGGACATTAACCCGAATTCCTTTTCAGGTTCCTCAAGGAATACCCTTCCATGGTGTGGGCAGCCGGGAAGTGACACCAGCCCTCATACCCGTAACAGCACACGGGACCAAGTTGGTCACATTCAAATCCTTCCTACACCTCCTAATAACTCTTATCTCCACGACTAACCCTCCTCACGTCCCTTTATCACCTCGCACCGCTAGGGCAAACGATTCGAGTACGCGGAACGTTATTCCTGGTCTCCTGAAACCACGCTCTAAACTACACGTAGGAGCTTTTAACGTACGAACACTGTGCCAAATAGGACAGCAGGCTTCCTTAGCTAGGACTTTAGAATCTCGCGCCATCGATGTGTGCTGCGTCTCCGAAACGCGCATACAGGATCCGAGTAGCGTCATTCATTTGACCTCACCATGCCAAAATAAAGAACCGACTCGATTTACGCTTCGTGTATCTGGAAGCCCTATACCGGCGTAGGTATAGCATTGAGTCCTAGGGCAGAACTAGCTCTCTTAGAGTGGATCCCAGTAGACAGTCGTTTGTGCGCTGTCCGACTGAACGGAACAGTAAGAATCCGGAAAGATAGGGACACTCGTCGTTGCCTCTTCGTCGTCTCTGCCTATTCTCCCACTGACTGCAGCTCAGATGATGTAAAAGATGAGTTTTACAGAAAGCTTTCGGACCTTCTCCGAAAAGCTAGCGCTCGGATGTAGTAATAGTGGCCGGTGACTTTAATGCTCAAGTAGGTAAACTAAGCGATAGGGAAAGACACCTAGGTGGATCTTATGGTGTCGTGGCTCAAAGAACAGATAATGGCGACCGTCTGTTGCAGCTATGCTCAGATAACCGCCTGTTCCTTGCAAATACTAACTTTAAGCATAAGGAAAAACATCTTTTAACATGGCGACCCCCTAATTCGTCCCAACGTTGGACCCAAATAGATCACATCGCTATCAGCCACCGATGGAGGGGCTCGATAGAAGACTGTCGCTCATTCTGGAGCACATGCCTAGATTCAGATCATGCTCTAGTGCGAGCGCGTATTTGCTTGCGTCTTACTGGACGTAGGAAAGACGCTGCAAGGAAACCTCTTAGGGCCTACTTAATGATAGTCAAGCTAAGAGTATATTTCAGGAACAACTAGGAAAACAGTTAGGCAGCCATGTATGTGATGCCCACCCCGATGCAGCATGGAATGATATCCGAAAAGCTGTGGAAACAGCAGTGATATCTGCTAGTAAGGTAAACCAGAAGGTTAGGGAGCAACACTGGATCTCAGCAGCATCTATCGCACTGATAGATGCTCGGAAACTCATTCCACCTGGCTCTGAACATAATGAAGAGCGGAGTCAGCTTAAGCGCAAGCTGACAAGAAGTCTACGCAATGATCGCGAACAGTGGTGGGTAGCGAAAGCAAGAGAGATGGAAAAGGCAGCGGCAATAGGTAATAGCAGACAATTGTTCAGACTCGTTAAGGAAACCGGAATTAGGAACCCGACCGTTAGCGAAACAATCTCAGAGAAAGATGGACATATTATTCATTCTCAATCCAGGAGATTGGATCGATGGGCAGAACACTTTAGGGATCAGTTCAACTGGCCTTCAGCCACACTTCGGTTTCCCACGATCTCCAATATACCTGAATGGCAAGTTAATGTAGGTCCTCCGACTCTTTACGAAGTTGAAAAAGCCATAGGAAATCTGAAACGAGGGAGAGCAGCAGGCCCTGACAGGTTTACTCCTGAGATTTTTAAGGATGGTGGTCCAGTATTAGCAATGAGATTAACTGAGGTCTTAGGTAGAATTTGGGAACTGGACGTAATCCCATCTGACTGGTCTCAATCACTGATTGTGCCAGTCTATAAGAAAGGACAAAAGTCCTCTTGTGACAATCACAGAGGAATCAGTTTGACTAATATAGTGTCTAAAATATTAGCTTCAATAATACTTCGACGCCTAACTAAAGCTCGTGAAGAGCAGATTAGAGAAAACCAGGCTGGTTTTCGACCTGGACGTGGTTGTATAGATCAGATATTCACACTACGTCAGGTTCTAGAACACAGACACACATTCAGACGCCCCACAATGGTAGTATTTCTCGACCTTAAGGCGGCATTCGACTCTGTTGATCGTGAGGTTCTATGGCAGTGTTTGTCACTGAAAGGAGTACCAAAGAAGTACATTAACCTTATAAAGGCTCTCTACTCGAACACAACTGGTCGAGTGAGAGCTTATGGCGAACTGTCATCAGAATTGATTACCTCAAGTGGTGTTCGTCAGGGCTGTCCACTCTCCCCATTCTTGTTCAACTTTGTCGTTGACGTACTTTTAGAGATAACACTCTCCTCATCTAAATTTCCAGGGGTTGAACTTCTACCGGGAGGTTCACTTGTTGACTTAGAATATGCTGATGACATAGTTTTATTTGGTGAAGACGCTGACAAAATGCAGAGTCTTCTGACCACTCTAAGCAACAATGCAAGCATGTTCGGGATGCGATTCTCTCCCTCGAAATGCAAAATGTTGCTTCAGGATTGGGTTACATCGACACCCGAACTAGTGATAGGGAGTGAAGTAGTTGAGTGTGTCGACCGCTTCACTTATCTTGGAAGTCTCATCAGCCCTTGTGGTCTGGTGTGTGACGAAATCTCAGCACGGATACAGAAGGCTCGACTAGCTTTTGCCAACTTGCGTCATTTATGGCGTAGGCGAGATATCCGTCTATCAACCAAAGGACGTGTTTACTGCGCAGCAGTTCGTTCCGTCCTACTTTATGGCAGTGAAACATGGCCGGTAAGAGTAGAGGATATTCGTAGGTTACTAGTATTTGATCATAGGTGTCTTCGAAACATTGCTCGTATATCATGGGACCATCGAGTAAGTAAAGCAGTTGTTAGGAAACGGGTACTAGGTAAGGATGGCAAATCAATTGATGAAGTAGTGAAACTTCATCAGTTGAGATGGCTGGGACACGTGTTACGTATGCCCAACGACCGACTGCCTCGACGTGCTATGTTCAGTGGTATAGGAGTAGGTTGGAAGAAAGCTAGGGGGCCAAACCAAAACATGGCACAAGTCCATGAAGTCACTGACAAGTGGACTGAGTCATGTTGGTAGGTGTAGACTACCTGGTTGGGGACCGCGAGATGATAGCAACCGATGGTTAGAGACCCTGAATGACATGGCTCAAAATCGTTTGCAATGGCGCAGGTGCATCCACTCTTTGTGTTCTCCCAAATTTTGATCTCCTTATTCCTCCTTGTCTCTTTTTTTCCTCCTCTCAAATTTATTTCACTGTATTATACTCTTTAAATAACATCTCCAAACACTAATCTTCCCGATTACTGCTTATACTCTTATTACCTCTACCACTACGGGATTTGAATCGACACTGCATCTCTGTGCTAATGTGGTGTGGCAACTCGAACTGATGTACGTACGTACGAAGTTCTACGTTGTTACTGACTGAAATAAATTATGAATCTTTAATTAACTTTGGCGGGTTAGATTTTTATTCCAGCAAATTCATGAGAGGTTATCATTAGTAAGATACTCAGTTTAAGACTAACCACCACCCTTAGAGCTGAATAGCTTACACACATTAACAACAATATTATCAATACGAAACACGCTAAAACTGGCCTTATTCCAGAAAACAGTGAGGCAAAAATATAAAACTTACAACTTTGATATTTTGTTTCCTATTCGCTTCAATCAATCGTTTACGCTGGGCTGCAATTCGTTGACGCTCCAAACGTACTATTTCCGACTCATCCACTGTCAAATCTATAAGATTTTCATACATAGATACATTTTCAGGTATATTAACAGTGATTCTTGGGTTGAGAATTAAAGGATTGATAGAGTTATCTCCAGCGGGAAGAGTATTGCAAGCTTCATTTACAATACGTTCCGCTTCTAAGCGTATTTCGTCAGTGGGATGCTTAATGGTAGAGAAAAATACACTGTACTGTTTTTTATTCAAAGGTTAGCATCACGATGAAGTTTAGTAGACAAAATTAAATTTTTGAACCTACAAACTATTACGCTAGTGTGTTATCAGTGAATTAATATTAAAACAGTTTCATAATTCCTAATATGTTTTGATGTCTCCGGGAGGAAGGAGGACAAATTATTGCCCAAACATGATGTCCTCCACTCAGTAACGTTTTATAAAGATGATAGCGAAAAAGTGGACGTCTGCTAACAAATACCGTTTTATCACTCATTTGGTCTGGATTTTAGAAATGATGTATATGATTGGTTAAGTGTCGTTTTTTCGATATTCACCAAACATTTAAGGGACACTTTCAGTGTGCGAAGGTAATGAGTGGGAAGAACTATAAACACTCAGGTGTGTAGGAGGATTTCAAGAGGCAGAGAAGATTATGTACACCAAGCCGTACTACAGTATATAAGATGGGTTAGATCTAGTGGGCAAATTGTGTAAATAATATTGAGGTCCTGAAACACCTGTTCAGGTACATTAGACATGACAACGCTGCAGGTGATATCATCTTATAATACCAGCTTTCGTTGATTGGTCATACTTTACATATGTCATTCCATAGTGTATATTACTTGTCAACTTTTATAATGAGTAGAAAAGTAGAGATGTTCAGGTTACGACATGGTAAGCTGGAATGGGACAGTTTCTTTAATAAGCACCCACTAATAAGTTTTGGGTCGGATCCTAAGAACTATAGATTTCAGTGGGGATTATGCTATGATTTTCTATAGTATATCTTCATAAACGGTAAAATGCATATCCTAACGCTAAAGGAAATCTATCTTGATTATCTTTAAACTCTGATTGTACTTTTTAAATATATATTATTATTTCGATTCACTTATTTTTTAGCATGATTTATCACCCTTTTATCTCTTCACAACACATTTCGTTTTGTATAGAACACATGTTTGGTACCCTATTATACCGAGCGTTCTTTCTGGGCAATAATGATAATAAATAAATAAATAAGCCAGTAGTCAACGCGAAACTATCTTCAAAAAAGAAGGTAAACAGTAAAAAAAAATTAAGCTTTTAATATAGGAAAATGAAGAGGTTACATGATTAGAAAACCCAACCAGATTGCCAAAAAATGTCTCAGTTCGACTACTACTTGTGGTATCCTCAATAGCATACTTACTGTGTTACTTTCAACCTTAAACCATGGTAAAGGGACGAGTTAAAACAGTTACAACTGGTCTAATTTTGTCCAATAACCTCCCATTCCGTCCTAACATTGTTCAGTTGACAATCTCACTGTTGGCTATCGATGCTTCGAAAGTAGGGAATCATAAAGGACCGATCATAATCGCTTGAAAATTTATTCCAGTTGGAATTTTTTACTAGTGAATATTAGAATAAGGTATGTAGTATTCATAGAATATTGAGGGACAAGGAAATATTTCATTGGGTTTGTAATTCCCGTAATTAGGCAAACAACAACAGATATTTGCACTAAAACTTAGTCACTGTTTTAGTTTTGAATCTGTCACATACAAAGCACATGAAGTACCTGACAGTTTTCACACAATTTTAAGAAGAATACATTAAACTTGTCTTAATACTGAGCATGGGATTTCTGAACACTGTGTCAATCAAAGAACATCTGGAATGAAAAAAACCAATCATTGAGATATAAGTTACAGATGGATAATTCCTTTGGAGTTATTCAAGCCTGATTAATATTAGTCATACTAATATGGAAGAGCTATTATAAAGGTACATATGAATCAGAAATAGGCAGGGTGAATTATTTTGTTACCATTTTAACGGTATAAATTAAGTAACATTCTAATTGACCGAAACTATTATACTTATCTAATTTCATAAGATCAGCAGGCTACTTTATACAGTAACAATACAATTAACTAGAGCATAAAACAAGAAACTTACCTCTTTGGAAGTACTGTTGACTTTCTTAGACAAAGATTTAATCTCCCGTTCTAAGGCTTTCGTTGTATTGAAGACTGGTTGTGAAAAATTTAGAGTCGCATCGCCTGTATCGCAAAAAGAAGTTGTATCTGGATCCAGACAACTTAAATCTGTCAAACTTGACAAAGACAGACTTTCGGAATGCGTAAAAGGATAGCTGGGTAGTTCTCTGGGATCTTGTTCACTTGAACTTTTCTCATATGAAGGACAGTTTTTGGGACTATATACATGACCACAGGATGATAACGGCTGCTGAGGGAGGTGATCTGTAGTTTTGAGGAATGAAACACTTTGGCAGCTGCCTTTAAGGTGATATTCAGTATTCACAGAAAGATCAGACATTTTATTGACATTATTTTCCATCGTCTCAGATACATCATGAAATGTTTGTTTAGAATCAAAGTGACTTTGTGTAGGCGCATTATCTGGTGGGTAACGATTTTGAAATATGGAAATGGAGTCCGAATTACCAAAAGATGATGTTACATTGGTCAATTCATCGAGACCAGATTCAGTAAAATCCCAGGACACTTTATCAGCTAGATGATCAGAGGAATTTGTGATTACATTCGGGCGGAACCTAACCTACATGAATTGTTTCTCAAATTTTCCATCTTGTTACCTGTTTAGATGGACTAAGTAGTTTATCCGACGAATCATTCCTTAGTGCACGACCTGAAGACCTTGGATATGCATCAACATCTGACATTATTGTAACTGATTGCAACGAGACATTATTGTGTACCGATTATACGGGTGAATATTAAAATTTGTTCGTTCTAAAAATATTTAAAAAATATAACTTGCCAAAAGAACAGTGGGGAAAATCAAGATCGAAATCGTATGAATTATGATGTTTTTACTTCAAGGGTTTGATTAATTCTAATCGACATCCTAAAATGGATGCATTGAGAACATTCGTGTTTACAATCTAACTGGTCGAATAAAACTAACACAAAAGCTCCAAAGCTATCTCAAGTTTATTTTTATAGATTGGAAAACGTCAAGTAGTCAGGGAGCTTCGAATACCGTCCTAAAAGAGATGTGTCGGTAGAAATATAAAACATATGAATTATTAAGGTTTATCTCAAGTTCCAAAGTGACCCACACACGTCAGAATTGAAAACAATCAAGTTTGTGAATTTAGAGGTTAGTCGGTCATGTACAACATAAGACCAGGTACACATGTGCTTAGATCCAAGTTATCATACCCCAGCAAAACAAGATGAAAACTAATTCCACAGAAGCAGTTACCTTAATGGTAGTAATATAAAGAAAAAAGGTTGCACGTACGTATATGACACATGGAATAAGAAATTTGTTCGTAGAAGGAAACAAATAAAGTAATTTCAGTCCCACGGTTTAAAGCAATACGAAGTGTTTACACCTACGCCATTGTGGTCGATTCTGAGCCATTTCACCTAGTCTCTAACCACCGGCTACGGTAGTCATGCGGACCCCAACCAAGTAGTCTGCACCTACCAACATGGCTAAGACTAGAACTTAGTAACTTCAAGCACCGATGCCACGTTTTGGTTTGGTCGTCCCTAACTTTCTTCCAACCACCTCCAGCACTAGTCAGCATTGTGCAACGTGCTAGAGGGTGGTTGAGGATACGCAACACGTGGCCCAACCATATCAGTCAATGAAGATTTACAACCTCATCAACTGATCTACCACCATTCCCTGATACCCTGCGTCTAACCTCACTATTACTTACCCGGTGATCCCAGCAGATGCCAGCAATATTTCTAAGGCATCTGTGGTCAAATACTAGTAGCTTCCGAGTATCTTCTACTCTTAATGGTCACGTTTCGCTGCCGTAATTTAAAACAGAACGGACAGCCGCGCAGTATACTTGTCCCTTAATTTATAGATGGATATCTCGCCTTCGCCATAGGTGACGTAAGTTGGCAAAAGCCAAACGAGCTTTTCGATTCCGTGCTGAGATTTCGTCAGACACCAACCCATTAGGGCTGATCAGACTTCCAAGATAAGTGAAGTTGTCAACTCGTTCGACTACTTCACTCTCTATCCTTAGTTCAGTTGTAGACGCAGACCAGTCCTGAAGCAACAACTTGTAGTTAGAGTAGGAGAAACGCATCCCAAACATCTGGACATTGTTACTCAGTGCTACCAAAGACTCTGCACTTTATCAGCGTCTTCGGTAAACAGGATTATGTCATCTGTGCGTCCTAAGTCGATAAGTGGACATCCTGGTAGGAGATCAATTCACGAAAATCCAGACGACCACAACGTTATTGCCAGTAGTAAGTCTATGATGGAGTTGAACGAAAATGGAAATAGTGGACAAACTTTACGGACACCATTTGGGGTTGCAAAATCAGATGACAGTTCGCCATAAGCTCTGACCCGACTGGTAGTGTTCGAGCAAACAGCCTTCTCAAGGTTTATGTACTTCTGAGGTACACCTTTCAATGAGACACTTCCACAGAACCTCTCAGTTTACGGAGCCAAAAGCTGCTATTAAGTTAAGAAAAACTATCATTGTCGGACACCGATAAGCATGCCTGTGTTTTAAAACCCGACAACAGGTAAATATGTGGTCGATGCACCCACGATTAGGTCTGAAGTCAGCCTGATTTTTCGTATTTTCAGTTCACGAAGATTCGTTAGACGTCCGACAATTATTGAGGCTAGTATTTTATTTATTTATTTGAACACATAAATATTGGTATTTTAGACGTTGTATTGGAAAAACTAATCCCTCTATGGTCATCACAAGGTGATTTAGATCCTTTCGTATGTATTGGGACAATCAATGATTACGACCAGTCGGATGGGATTACGTCTATTTCCCAGATTTTAGATAAAATATTGGTCAACCTAATCGCTAAAACTGGACCACTATCCTTAAAGACTTCTGGAGTTAATTCAACTGGACCAGCTACTCTTCCTCGTTTCAGATTAGCTATACCCGACCGTTGTTGGTACCTTGACGTGGTGGTTGGGCTTGCCTATCGTGACGAACCAACAGAGCTATACTAGCTGGAACAACCGCTTCTCAAGGTCGTGCCATGACAGACAGGTCGGTTGAAGAGCGGTAAGACTAAAAGCAACAAACCCAAGGTCCGAAGGCGAAGTCGTACTGCTGACTGTAAAGAGGTGTGGCAGCAGTAAGGTGTTTCCTTCAGACAACCAGCATGACAGCGATGCTGCCTTCCCACAATGAGGGGTGAGGTTAGAAGAGGTCGACCCTAAAGAAGCACACCTCGCTTTATCCTACAGATATCCGTCTCCAGCGGTAAGCTCTCAGGAAGTACGGAGCTAACACGAAAATTACCTACAAAAAGGTCGCGTGTGACCGACCTCAAGCAGTTGTCCCTTGGGCAGTGCGGCCACACCCTCAGGTCTCTAAGACCACCTTTAATCCAATTTCCTTTTCAGGTACCTTCAGAAGAACCCCTCCACGATGTGATAACCCCCCTCACAATTCCAACAACAATCAAGACTAGCTATAGCTTTTTGAACTTCAATTAGAGTCGAGGTTCTATTTCAATGTTCCGTTCAGGTAGTTTGGAAATGGTTGATTTTAGAGAAACTACAAACTACTCTGCTCTATAACAGTTGGAAACGTTTTTGGAGTTGCAAGACGGTTTTGAAGAGTCAGAAGTTTCTTAAATCACAGCTTGTAATACCTAATGTACATAAATGCAGATTTTTATTGATATTCATGGAATAATCACTATCATTGCAGACGTCAGGTAACATGACTTTAAATCTATTAAAATGATATGATAGCATTTACTATTTCTTCAAACCAAAAGCCTGAGTAACATGTCATTTCAGACCTTTTATGCTTCAGTTTCATTCACTGATACTAAACTTCACTTTTCAAATTCTATTTTCCACTGAAATGGACACTATTTACGGTCCTCTTTTTCTCATCTTTTTATTCGCGTTGTGGCTTGGAGGTTGAAACAGTCGCGTCAAATCATATGTCATCAATGCCTGTTTATACTAAAAAAACAAATATAGAAGTGGAACCTTTTTTGTCCCGATAGAATTGACAGAGCTTGGTTTACTGTAATAAAAGTGTGCTCTGAAATTTTAGCAAAATTCCTGTTAGGTTTGAGCAAATACACAAAGTAGTGATAGACTGAAACGGAGAAATCGATTAACAGGAATCAGTAGATAAACTATTTACTGCAACTGAACAGTCACTCAATAACTACGATTGTTCTCCCTATTTCTAAACGTAATTCCACAACATAACCCAATGGATAATTGTTAAATAGACCGTTACAGAGAAGAGAAGGGATAGTAACGAGTTAAAAAAGGAAATTGTACTAGTAACTGTGATATGCTCTTGTGAATACATGTACGATAAAACAGAAAATGAAGTCTATGAAATACACTTTTACAGTAGTCCACGGAAAAATGACTATACAAAGTACGTACAGAAACTTTCCCGAGAAGGGTAGTTTTGACTAGCTCCATAGTTTTCCTGAGGATGACATACCTTCCAAAATGTGGAGATAACCTGAAACCATACATAGTGTGGAGTCTAGTTAACTGGAGTCGTTTTTGCTCTGAAATGTGTTTGAGGAAATCTAAATATCGACATGTCATCATACTTGAGGTATGGTAACTTGAACCGATGCCCATATGTGCCTTGTCCTACGTTGTACCCGAATGACTGATGTTGAGTTGCCTGTCAACCAATCAGAAACGATATCTAGTTACAGAAGATTAACAGCAAAAACTACTAGAAGTGTAATAACAGGTTTGATCTTGATAATCGATCCTTAAATATCGATTTTCCGAAGTATAAGAACAAAAGTTGAATTTTATAAATAAGCAACCGAGCTAGTGATGTGAAATGGTATAAACACACCATAGTTTCTGTGATTGAGCAAAAGGGTTGCATTTATGTATTGGTGGTTAATCCTGTGTCCTGAGACGATTTCACAAGTTGGTATTAAGGTTTTCTTCACGAACTAACACCAGCGAAAATGCAATACTTTGATTACTCTTCCGATCACAAATTTACGAAACTTGAGATTGGAACTAAAAGCAAGGACCCAAGCCTCAATGTAGGGAAAATTTGACCCATTTTTGGGAAAGCCGCTATAGTAAACTTCGGGGTTTTTGTGCCGTTACCCCAAATTTGGGAGCTCGGGGATTAGAGTGGGAGGATATTATCTAGTCTCACGAAGGACTCCTGACTATGCTGCAAATCACATCAAGTACTTAACCACATATTCTGGCTAAGGATTAGGCATTTTTTGTGAATTAGCTTAGGCACCATTTTAAATTCACTTACTGGTTGCATAACAAGTATTCTCAATAATACTAAGCATTCAAAGGACTTTTCGCCGACACTTACTCCGTTCTTAGTAGCATAAGTTATCGTAATCCCTGATGGTTAACTCAAGACCGTCAGTATATTATAATTTCACCAATAATAGCTTTTATTACGCAAATCTAGTTGCCTTGATAACTATGTAGTTACAGTTGGCTGTCACAAAAAATGCTCTTCATCCCTGAGTCTGGCATATTGTTAGTTTTAAAAAGTAATAATTTACTTCCAACTTGAATGCTATACTTACTATGCCGAAACACTAAAAGCTAAACCCCATGACCTTGACGTCGCGTCTAAATGCAAATTCTCGCAATCTGTTTTAGTTAACACAATCGGCCTCATCCTGATTACAAACGTGTGAATTCCATAAAGCCATTTGAATATGTTGGAAGAATTGCCGCTTTATTCAGATAAGAAGCTATGAGGTGGTGAAATCTGCTGCATAAAGGCATATCTAATTTTAATACTTCAAATGGTTCAAATGGTTGTGGACGTAATAGAAAAAGCTTTCGTTTAACAGGCTTCCGTGTCTAGTAGCAGGGGATCACCAAATCCTCCAGGCAGGAACCTAGGTATGTTAACAATAAAAGGGGAAAAGAAATTGGTAAATCATAGTGTGATGCTGTCCTTGGTCCTTAAGAATAGGTCAAGTTGCCTCTTGAAGGACTCCTGAGAAGTCGCTTGGACTAGCTCGGCCGGCAGCGAATTCCAGCTTTTGACAACTCTTAAGGAGTAGAAGTTGTGTCTACATTCCGTCTTGCTATGTTGTGTTTCCAGTTTCTGGGTGTTACCCCTTAGGTTATTATTCGAACTAAGCTTAAGTAGGTGTTTAAGAGGATGTCCAGAAGTGTTAAGAATACTATAAGCCATCAGAGGATCACCTCTAAGACGCCTATATTCTAATGGGTAAAGGTCTAGTGAATGGAGGCGTTCTTCGTAAGGTTTAGATTTGAGTCCTCGAACTGATTTCGTGGCTCGCCGTTGGATACGCTCCAAAGTGACCTTGTCCTTTTGGAGTGAGGGAGGGAGTACTATGTTTCCGTACTCTAAATGGGGACGGATGAAACTATTGAAGATTGTGTGGAAAGTTCGTCCGTCAAACTGTCCAAAAATGCGCTTCAACGTTACCAGTGCAAGGTTTGCTCGGAAG